TTCACCGTGGTCCTGCTCTCAGCTTCTATCGGCAGCATAGTTCTCACATATACTCAAATAACCATYGTCTGTCTGACCAGTAAAAACAAGTCTCTGAACAGTAAAGCTTTAAAGACCTGCAGCACTCATCTAATGGTGTATCTCATCATGATGTTTAGTGGAATGATCATCATTATTCTGCATCGCTTCCCTCAGTACTCAGACTATAGGAAACTCTCCAGCATTTTGTTTCATATCATTCCTTGCAGCCTCAACCCAGTTATTTATGGAGTGCAGTCCAAAGAAATACGAAAATTCTTGTCAAAATTGTTTGAGCACRAGAAAATGTGACAATTGTAAGAGAAAACATTTCAATGTTTAATTTAAAAGATAATGAGACAAATAACTTGACAACTATGATTGTTCTACTGTATTTTATGATTTTGTGTTGATCAACATAGCTCAGTGGTGACGTTATAAAGTCTATATATCTTCTAACATTAATATAATTCTATTGACAAGGTAATGAATGTCATTACATCTCATCATTCCAAACAAACTGTGTTTTTCATTATCTGAAGCTGCAGATAATTCATATTTTCCTCTCATTTGTAAGTGTGCATTCTAAATATATAATAAAAGCTCAATTGTGGTGAAAACATTTATTGTCATCAAGTGAAACATGAATATGAAGAAGAGGACTTGTGACAGGAGGAAACGTTCGATAACGGTGATGACATGATGACTTTGTTTCAAGGATACAGACACAGTYKGATGAAGAGTTGCAGCAGTGAAAAAAATAAATGTTTGAACAATGCACTGATCACCTCTTGATGTCACTTATCTTACAGTATTATTTAATGAGGAATCATTTTCTGATCAGAATAGTTTGGTTTTTTTATATCCCTATTATTTGCTAAAATACATTAGAAAGAAATTTGTGGAGCAAATTTTTTACATTGACCTTTGGCAGATAAGCTCCAAAAGTTAATAATCAAGAAATGACCCAAGAAATACCCACACTAAATCTAGTGAATATTCATTCAAGTATTGTGGTTATTTTGCACATACATATGCTTCAGAGCATAGTTGGAGACATTTTGGTCACAGCATTTGGAACATTTAGAAAATTGCACTGGTTTACGTCTTTTTTCAAAACATGAACTTACAAACGTATTTGTGGTACAAAACATCTCTGTCCTTATTTCTGATATTCAGTAGAACTGTGAGAAGCTTGTGTACAAGGCAAAGTCAAAAGAGAGTAAAAGGTGACCTCATTCACCAACTGTTCTGTAGAACATTTACACATTCTTAACGAACATTCTGACATTCACCAATGTTTTTTAATCTGGGATTTGTTCTTATGTAAGAACAGAATCTATGCACATGTACAACTCTTACACACACTGACAACTGTAAATTAACCAGTTACTGTGTGTGGGCATGGAGGAGGCTCGGAGAGAACCTCCACCTGTACCAGAGTATCAATCATTGCAGCTGAGGGCTGTTAGCTGCTTGTCCTCATGTTYAACAGGCAGCAGCAAAGGTGCCAGAGGGAGACGCTGGGTGGAACACAGAGAGACAAGAGACACGTGAAGAAGAGACACATGAGGAAGAGACACGTGACACGTGGAGAAGAGACACGTGACACGTGAAGAGAACTGAACTGCCACGCCAGCAGATACTGCTGGACCCTTTAAGTTAAGTTTAGTTTAAATATGTTCATACCTGGTCTCTAATAAAATGTTAAAGAGTAAGTGGTGTAAATGTTTTTTTTACTCTAAATTCTACAGTTGTATAATAACATTTAAATGATCATGATATTTTATCATTTTATCTTAAAAAAGGTAAGTTTCAGAGCACATTATATATTTTTTAATGTGTGGAAAATGTGGATGAGTCTTAAGCCCAGGAGGAGCTGTAATTGATTATAGAGGAAATGGAGAACTTACACCCTGAGGACAATTCCATTGTATTGAGAGACTTCAACAGGACAAATATGAAGCCGATTTCCCCAAAATACAATCAACACATCACTTTCCCAACCAGGGGCAATAAACACTGGACCACTGCTACACCCCAATCAGTGACAGTTACAAACCCCTCCCTCGCCCTGCTATAGGTAAAGCAGATCACTGCTCCATCATGTTGCTGAGCACATGTAACATCTTCAGCCCTGAGTCAGTCTGTGGTCCTGCACACTTCAAGGCATCCATCATTGTTCCAGTCCCTAAGAAACCAGTGGCCTCCTGCCAGCCTGTCACTATGACATCAGTCATCATGAAGTGCTTCGAGCGACACATCAAAACTCACATTAGCTCCTCCCTTCCCGACACCTTGGACCCTCTTCGGTTTCCACAGACCATCGCCCTGGCGACCCACCCAGTGCTCAGCCTGGACCAAGGGACTACATATGTGAGGATGCTCACTGATTACAGCTCAGCATTCAACAACATTATTCCCTTATAACTCGTCTGGAAGCTCATTGATCTTGGTCTGGACACCTGCAGCTGGACATATGACTTCCTGACAGGCAGGCCCCAGGTGTTGAAGCCAAACCTTCTCCCAACTGCTCTTTAACACACCTCAGGGCTGTGTGCTCAGCAGCCTCCTGTATTCCCTGTTCACCCACGACTACACAGCCAAGCTCAGCTCCAACTCCATCATTAAGTCTGAAGACGACGAGACGGCCGACAGAGAGGAGGTGACATCACTGACAATCTGTTGCAAAGCAAATACCCCCCCCCCCATACAGGACCTCTCCTGGACACTTCTCAAGCACACCATGGTCAACAATGCTCATCAGTGGCTGTTTTTTCTCTTTTGTGTGATGAATRCCAGTAAGTTCACAAACACACAACCAAGAGCTTGCTGCATTCAAACGTGCGCACTGAATCAATTAATAACTAAATATATATGTCTGTGTGTGAAGAGCGACGAAGACGAGAACACGCTCACATACAGGCATCATTTGTGTATTCGTATAACCCCAAACACTGAAAGTGTGGACTTATATCCAAGTCGTTTTTTTTCTTCTAGAGATTCCTTTTAGACCTTAAATCAAAGCCAGCTGATGAACCTTCATGGATGTACCTTACCTTTACTTTGCATAGTGAAGCAAATAGCATAAGCTATCAACCATCAATTAAAGATGTAGCTTAACTTACCTCAGCTGATGTCCTGCAGTCACGCCACCTGCTGAGTCTTTGCTACAGTCTACGATGATGGAGTCTGGTTGAATCTCCTGGGACCAACTATGGAAGAGCTTGACGGGAGAAAGCTTGGTGCCTGATGGAAGGACAAGAGAGAAAGTGAGAGAAAGAGACAGAATGAGAGAGTGAAGATTTCAAACACTATGACTCCATGTGGTCCTGACAAGTGTCCACATTACAGCCAGTGCAGTGTTCGGTATGTCCCTGCCTTTACGCCTCATGCATTCTACCAAGCAAGACTACATTCAGGACTGAGTCCTGGTGTTATGAGCCCATCAACAAACAAGTTACACACCCAGACTTTTATTTAAGTTGTTTACAGAAGATATTCCAAAGGTCAAGTGTTGAAAGTCTCTTTGGCTTTAAAACAGCAGCGTCTGCCCGAAATATGACAGATAACCAGGCACTGATAACTTCTTATTGGTCCCTGGAGCCAAGATGAAGCACATTTCTGATGTGTAATAAACACATGGATGTAGCTGAGTAAATCACTGGGACTCTGGAGGAACAGACTTTAAACTGAGACTCCTCCACAGCATTAAATAAATAGAGTTTGTTCCACCAGAGATTAGCTTCATGATTAAACTGGATTAAAGTTAGCAATCTGTACTGTTTCACCACAGGGCCAGGAAGCTAATGTTACCAAGGTTAGCTACTGACCAGGTTTACGTTTGCCAAGCTAGGTGTAGCTTTAAATAAGCATGTAAGTTAGCTACCGCGCTAACTAGTGGCAGCTCACATTATCTACCATCAATTATCTAGCTAATGGCTAACAGTAGCTGAGCAGCTGACGTTAGCTAGCGCGCTGTAAGCTAATGTTAGTGCGCTAGCCTTTTGGCGCTAGCTAACATTAGCACGGTGAGCTAACGTTAAAACCATGTAAACAATAATTAGAAACTATAGCGAACGATGAAATGGTAATTTAACTAATTATGGTTACTAGCTAACAGCTAACTACCTGTGAGTTTTCTTCAGTTGTGTGGGGGTCCTCACCGGTGAACTTTGTTAGCATCATGCTAACATGTAGTTACCTCTTCACTTTCATAAACACGTTGTCATTGACAGGATGTTTAAAACTACTACAGTTCTCGGAGTGTATTTCCAGTCATCATGATTTATTTCAAGGTTAAATCTTCCATTAAAGAATTTGAATCCTATCCAGTCCTGATCCTCCGGATTTTCTCCTGCTGAGGTTTTCAAATGTGCCGCTCTGATCTCAGTTAATAACACTGATCCATTGCATTTAGTTCAGAACATCTTGTATTTAAAGTAGAATATCGATGTTGTAAGCTATTTTATTTAGTGGCTTTATTGTTGAAGGTCGGGACGAACTTCCTGTTGTGAGTAGTGTGTCTGGGGGGACTTCTGTTACGAAGGGGGTTCTAACGAAAGTGGTGCTGTTGATGGAAGTGAAGGAGACGAGTGAAATATAATAAAAGACGGGCTTGTTGTCCTGAGCTGTTCGGGTACTTTCAGCTGTGTTGAAGAAGACTTGAAACTAGAGACTGAGACAAAAACTCCAGAGGACAATGTTCACTGGCGTTATAAAGTGAGAGATACTCTGATGACAAGAACGAGATAACATCTCAGGACGCTGGAAACGTCCATTAACGTGAGTATTAATACACATGAAGACAACACCAAACTGAGGCCTGGTGTTTTCCCAATAACTATCCTGTGAACATGACATAATGTTTGATTATGTGCTGGTAAAGTTTCCCCAGAGAACAGCCAGGTTCATAAAACCAGTGAAGCTGAAGGAGTGAACAGAAGGAGGCTGATGGCAGGACGCTGATCCCTTCACTGAGCTGACCCTCCGGCTGACTGCTCGGCTCTCCTGATTTTACACTGGCTGCAGACAAAGTACATGTTTCTTGCTTGAAAACAACTTTCATGTAATTACTGAGATGATGATGGTGGATTTGTTGTTTACTGTTCTTACTCATGATTTTTCCCTCGTCTCTCTTGTGCAGCTCCGATGGAAAACTCTTCATACAACAGCCTCACTCTGCAGCTCGAGGGGTTAAAGGTCACCAAGACGAGCAAGCACCCCATCTTTATCTGTCTGCTTTTCATCTATGTGTTCATATTCGTTGCCAACGTGGGCATCGTGTTGTTGATATGGACGGACAGGAGACTGCACCAGCCCATGTACCTGCTCTTCTGTAACCTGTCCATTAACGACATCATGGGGAATTCTCTGCTGGTTCCCCGGGTGCTCTCAGACATTCTGGTGCCGCCCTCCGAGCGCTTTATTCACTACTACGAGTGTCTGATGCAGGCGTTCACCACTCATATGTTTGGCACCAACGCCCACACGGTGCTCATGATTATGGCGTTTGACAGATACGTGGCCATCTGTGATCCTCTGCGTTACGCTGCCATAATGTCTAATAAAATGGTGATCAAGCTGACGGTCTCAGCCTGGGGCGTGGCCTTTGCTCTGGTGGCCGTCCTGCTCAGTCTGACTGTACGACTGAACCGATGCCGGACTCTGATCACTAACCCGTACTGTGACAACGCTTCGCTGTTCAAACTCTCCTGTGAGAACGTCTTTATTAATAACATCTACGGCCTCACGTTCACCGTGGTCCTGCTCTCGGCATCTATCGGTTCTATTATCCTGACTTATTCTAAGATCACAGCAGCGTGTGTGACCAGTAAGAGCAAGTCTCTGAACAGTAAAGCCCTGAAGACCTGTAGCACTCACCTGTGTCTGTACCTGATCATGCTGGTCAGCGGGATGATCCTCATCACGCTCCATCGTTTCCCCGAGTTAGCCGAGTACAGGAAGATTTCAGCCATTCTCTTTAATGTGGTCCCCGGCAGCCTGAACCCCGTTATCTACGGCCTGCAGTCCCAGGAAATACACAAGTGTTTGTCCAACATATTCCAACGCAAAAAAGTCAAGCCGTCTTTTTAATGTGCGATGAACATTTCATGTTCCTGTTTTTATTTTCAAGTGAAAGATGATGATGAATATTTTACCTGTGAAGATGAACCTTGAACCTGAACACTAGAAGTTTTTGTTAAAGAGTTTGAGAGTTAAACTTCCTCATTCAACAAATGAAATGTTATAAAAGGCAAAATTTGGACAAACCATATGTTTTTGAATGATTCGATGTTTGACTGTGGTTTTGTGTGATTAAATGAAAAGTCATTGTTCTTTTTTCTTTAATACATTTGACTTGATTTTAAAAAACTTAATTCCAGAAAAAAACCTAATGTTAATTTGAGCTTAAATGTTTTATTTTGAAAAATAAGTGTTTATTTATTTGTATTTTATTTAATGTATGTTGGTTTGATGAAAATATATGAAAATAAACTGAAACAGTACTGTAACTGTAGTTCATGAGAAATCTTCTTTAAAAATAATAAATCATCATATAATAATCTTTATTGTGTCATTTTGTTGTATTTGAACTTTTACTTGAGTTAAGTATCTCAGTATTTTCTGAGTATTTTCCCACAAATGCAGTTGTGGTGGCTGCAGAAAACTTTCATCATCATATTCAAAATATGATATGATATAATATATAATAACACAATATAATCAAATATTAAATAATATATCACAATGTAATAAAATTGTATAATATAATGTAATATAATTTAATATAATAAAATATAATATAATATAGTAAAATGTAATATAATGTAATAACTGTTTGCATGATGGGATGAAAAATGTGTTTCTTATGATGCAGCTGAAGCAAATAATGAATAATGAGCTGTAATAATAAATTATATCTAATAGTATTCATCATTACAGGATTAATTAGATGGACAGAAATGCAGGACAGGAAAATACAAGCATCCTGCTTCTGCCTTTTCACTCACTTTATATGTAGACTGTTGACTATACATATGTATTTCTAAAGATGTTTTCTAGTCTTGATGTCACTCAAAGTACTTAATGGTACTTCACAGTATGCCATTCACTCACCCATTCACACAGTGCATCTATGTGCAGCACTTTTTCTATGAGGGGCCATTCGGGGTTCAGCGTCTTGCTTGCCAGGGAAGACTGAGATTGAACCACCGACCTTCTGGTTGAAGGACGACCGCTCTACTGCTCAGCCACAGCCACCCCATATCCAATGTGTGCATATAATACAAATCATGTTGTCATGAGTGAAGATGACAAGCTGGTCCGCTGTGGACAGGTTTGTCTGTGAATATCAAACATTTCAAAAGATCAACCTCCAGGAACATTCCACAGAAAAATCCTAATTAAAACAAATAAAAAACTCTTTCTTCTCTTGTAGTTTGTAAAATGAATGGTTTAAATATGATGTTTAATACTTTATTACCAATAATATACATCACATGTCATCAGCAAAATATTACAAAATAAAAATAATAATTCAGGCAAATTTTTGTTTTATGTTTTTATTATTTAAATTGAACATAAAAATGTTTTATGTAATTTAGAAACTTCTCTGAAAGTCCTTCCTTCTGTTTGTGATGAACAGTGCCCCCTGCAGCCACACATCGTAATTAACTGTGTATAGAAAACAAAGTGAATCAATTTGTCAGAACACTGGATATTACCCATAATCCTCTGCTTCTTGAACCAGCAGAGCTTCTGCTGTAACTAATCCACCAAACTCTGTTCAGAGTTCTTCATGTTTTAAAGTTTGCTGCTGAACATTGGAGATAAACTCTGGTTGTTAATAACTGATCTCAGTTCAGCTTCACTCTTCACCTGATTCAGCTCCTTTGTATTTCAGTTATTTCTGTAAAGTTTGTCTTGTGATATTTTGACTTCACTCCTGTAAAACACGCTGATGATCTTCTGTCGCAGTTCTTTACAGTTCAGTCCGTAGATGATGGGGTTCAGCGCCGGGGGCACAACATGAAACATGACGGACGCCACTTTTCCACTGTCCGCCCACTGAGGGTTCCGGTGCATGATCATGGGAGTGAAGGACGACACCAGCATGATGACGTACACGGCCAGGTGGGTGGCGCAGGTCTGCAGCGCTTTGCTGCTCAGCACCTTGTTCTTGCTGCTGAAACACATGATGGCGATCCTCAGGTAGGTGAGTGTGATGCTGCCGAGGGAGGAGCCCAGGATGACCACAGCGCTGCCGAGGCCGTAGATGTGGTTGATGAGGAGGTTCTGGCTGGAGAGTTTGAACAAGGAGGCGTTATCGCAGAACGGGTTCATTATAACCCTCCTGCAGCGCGTCAGGCGGATGGTGAGGCCCAGGAGGATCGCCACAGAGATGAAGGCCGCCACCCAGGCCCCCGCCGACAGCTTCACCACCATCCTTGTGGTCATGATGGCGGCGTAACGCAGGGGGTTGCAGATCGCCATGTAGCGATCGAAGGCCATGATCATGAGCACCGCGTGGGAGGCGCCTGCATGAAAGTGACTGGCGAAGGCCTGAAGAACGCACTCATAGTAATGGATGTAGCGCTGAGTCACGGGAGTGAAGACGTCGCTCAGCAGACGAGGGATGACCACRGTGGCTCCGAACGCGTCGTTGATGCTCATGTTGCAGAAGAGCAGGTACATGGGCTGGTGGAGGCTCCGCTCCGTGGAGATCAGSAGCACCAGGCCCACGTTAGACACCATGATGAAGACGTAGATGAGGAGGAGCAGGACGAAGGCAGGAACAGAGGAGGCAGGGCTGACCTTTAACCCCTCAATGGATAAGATTTGAGCATTGAACGTCTGGTTCTCCATGATGCTGAGGAGATGGTGTTAATGATGAGAGAGAAACATTAAACAGTTTAACACAAATGTGTTGAATCATCTTTAAATAAAGTTGAAAGTTGAACATGCTAATGTACATGTGTGTAATTTATTTTCTCTGAGTGATCAACGGACTGAAACACGTGTGTTCAGAACCTGGAACATGTGAACTACAGAATCTGCTTCAGTCTTCTACCACAGAAGAAGAAAATCAGATCTTCTCATTTTCTCTGTCACACTTATTTCATTTATTATGTTTCAATGATTTTGCTGCAGCCAAAATTCTCATGTTTAAAAGAAATAACAAACTGATGGAATAATAAAGGATGTGAAGTCCTGTGCAAACAGAGATGAGACATGTTGGAGCTGTTGAATCTCATTTTACAGTTGATGTGACTCAACAGAAAATACACGTTAATAATTAATTCTTCAGTTTTTATCACAACTGTCACATGAAATAAAATCTTTTTTGAAATGAAAGAGAAACTGACACAAACATGCAGCTCAGGAGAGAAACTACAAACACAAGAAACCTCATCATCAAAGTGAAAAGTCAAACGTACTTTGAGTCAGAAATAAAGAATCAGGATGAATTCAAGCAACATTTTCTCATGTGAGGAACACATCACGTGTTTCAAATTAAAAGCACAAAGTGCTTTAATTAATTAATTAATCGTGTTAAAACTCTGACATTTTACCCTGAA